CACATTCTAGCCGTATCTGAAGTAAGCAGTGATACTGGACTCTTGGTCTTTCTTAGCGCTATAAGTGAATAATAAATAAATCTCTGCTCAGCGGCGGGAGGCTAAAGCTGTTACAGTAAGAGGCCCTGTTTTGTTTTGTAATAACATATCATATTACATCAACTTTCATCATACATATATTTCTACCTTATATCATACCCTCCCCCCTTCCCCCCCCTTTCCAGGCTTCCCACAGTGCTTCGATCTTCAGATCACCTTATTGTTTCCCCTCCCATCTTTTATTTCCACTCTATTTCTAAAGGTAACATTTTGTCAGTATATATCAAAACAAAATAGTGTATCTTTTACGTCCCAATACTTTTCTAAGTACATTTTAAAATCTTTCCAGTCTTCGAAAAATTCCTCTGCGTCTCTATTGTTCAATTTTCTTGTCATTTTGTCCATTTCTACCATAAAAAAGTAGTTTCCTAATCCAGTCGGCCACCTCCGGTGTTTGCTCTTGCTTCCAACACTGGGCATACGTTATTCTAGCTGTCGTAATCATATACCACATTAGTGTTCTTTTGGCTACGTTGACTTCTTCCATTTTCAATCCCAAAAGCAAAGTTTCAGGTTCTTTCTTAAAATTACATTTCACAATTCTCTCCATTTCCCCATGTACCTCGGCCCAATATTTTTTCGCTTCTTCACATGTCCGAGAGGCCCTGTTTTTGTAGGGGTGGCTCAGACCTCTTCACGCATCTCCTTTACTATTTCATGATGTACTGTACATCAGGGGTGCCCAACCCGGTGCCCGTGGGCACCCGCCCGCACCTTTTCTGGTGTCAAATAAAGTGTTCTTAGAAAGCCGGCGGGGCTTTCCCCCAGAAAGGTTTCTAAATGGCTGTGCGGATTTTTTTTTTAAATGTTGCTTTGGCAGCAGCTGCCACCACAGCAAAAGGATCTTCACGGTGTGACTGAAAGTAGCAGAAGAAAACGAATTGGTTTTTATACCCCACTTTTCTCTGTCTTAAGGAATCTTAACGCGTCTCACAGCCGCCTTTCCCTTCCGCTCCCCACAACAGGCACCCTGTGAGGTAGGTGGGGCTGAGAGAGTCCTGAGAAAAC